CACCCACACCCCCACACCCACACCCCACACCCACACACACCATACACCCACACCCCACACCCACACCCACACCCACACCTACACCCACACACCCACACCCACACCCCACATCCACGCCCTATGGATTTCGATGTAGGTCTATAATATCAATTGGATACATTTTAAATAGTTTATCACATTTAACATAGGATCATTTGCTTTTGCGCTTTAATCAACACCATTGAACATAAAAGGGAAATATACAAGAGAGGAACGTAAGCAGTTTCAGGTATAAAAACCTAAGTAAATATCATTTTTTCTGGACCATTATAATGCATAAGATAAGGTGTCGTTGACATTATGCCCACTTTTTATTTATCTTATTTGCTTCTTCTTCAATACATTAACAAAAAAAATACAAGGTAAAATATACACATGTTTCTTCTCATTCTCTATTTCGTAAATACATGCTTTTGTTTTTTTTTGTTATTATCTTTATCTCTTCCATTACATATAGTTTTGTACAATTCTTAAGATGTAGTTAACTCTCTTCTATTGAAAAAAAAAACTCTTATTCAAAGGGTGATCTTATATTAGTACTTAGAAATTAAACTCTTGAACCATCTGTTATAAAAAAATGGATTTAATTAACTTGCTCTAGAAAATACTTCTCAATAAAATTTTTCTTACACTAAGAATAAAGATGTTCTAGTCAGTCGTCTTCACTGTAAGTCAATCGAAAGTGAGAATTCGATAGATATATTATCTTTGTTTGAAATAAGGCATATGTTATGAATCATAAGGACGGATGAGCATTAAAAGATATTAGTAAAGATCTGCAAATGAACTGAGACTTTTATTTTTTTTTTTGTATACGAAAGAAAAAAAAAGAGAAAAGTAAATTATTCTCCATTCTATTCATCTTTCTTTCGTCCTGCTGAAAGAAGAACATTCTTAATGCCAACTTTTATCAATTCGTTCATATCTTCTTCTTGTTTGACATCGAGAATACCAGCATAATTAAGACCACCTACCGATTTTTGAGAACCATTGGGTAATTCGAAATCTTCTTTTGATCGTGGTATTAAATGCATATAATTCTTCATGATAAGAACATTATAAGAAGCTTTAGCACCATCAAATTCTTTTCCTTCTTTAAAAATAAACATTTCATCCAAAAGTTGGATGAATTTTTGCATAAGATAGTTGCCTAATTGATCAGATTGTTCAGGTGGATGAATAGATATAAGAAAATGAGCCCATGGTACTTGAATAAGTTGACTAGCTTGATCATAAATATTTTGTCCTTTGAGATAAACATCTATTGGTGGTTCATTTTCTGATAGCGAAAAAAATTGAACATGTTTATGTTTTTGACTAGCACCAGATTCTTCACCACAATTAAAGAAAGCGATGAGTTTTGTCCTAAAATTTCGAATGATTTGATAAGTTAATGATAAATCGTCTTCTGTTAAAGGATCAGATTGTTTTGCAAATTCTGAAAACAAAAATAGAAAGTCTTAACAATGATTTGGAAAAATCTATTGCATAGAGTAGAGGAGAACTTCCTTTTTTCATTCCTTATAAGAAACAACTGCTTTTCCCTAACGACAGACTTCATATATATATATATCTATACCATGTGGTATGAGAAGAAAATGATTTTTTGTTGCAGGAAATTTGTTGAGTAACACGGCGTAATTTGTTGCATTCAATCCATAATTTGTTAGATCACATACATGAAGACTTTTCTCGTATGGAGGAGCAAGTGGATCTTTGTCAATTTTCTCTGCCTGATCTTTTTCTGGCTTGTTTTGGAGAGTAGCAACATGTCGTATTTGATACTAAACAATAAAAGTTAATTATTTAAAGCAAGTTTCGTGAAGAAACTAAAACAATATTTACCGAACATCCATCGATCAATTTCTCAACAACTTTATACCCTTGAAAAGTGATATCTCCGTTGTTGAGTGCATTTTCAAATGTACTTGTAACGAGACTTTCAATATTCGTCAATGAATTTGATGCCATGTTGTCAATTCGGTACAACTGCAGAAGAACGACAACACCAGCGTTTTTAATAGAAATCTAAAACAAAGTACATAAAGGTACTTGGTTTCCATTTGCAAAATACTTGCTGGCACTTTATTCTAAATCATCAAGTACCTCAAAGTACCGCGGCAAATGATTCAAAAAAAAAAGTTATTATTTCAGGCTTTTAATAGAAATATGTTCATGTGCATAAAACAAATAAGAAAGAAAAACAAGTTATAGACATTTACAAACATATACACACATATATCTGACAAAGTTTAAATGTTACTCTGAGTAATTTTTTATCATTACATGTGTAAAATACATCAAAATAATAAAATGAAAAATGTTACCATTGTTCTTGTTCTTGATCATGCATATCAACACAATCTTCGCAAAACTACGAGATTGATTCAATTGGAATTCCTAATTTGATACAACAGGTATTGCATAACCATCTAGAACAATTATCTTCTATCCAATAATAGTATTCTTGTTGATGACAGCATTGAATGGCATATATTTCATCTGGATCATCACCGGCAATACTTTTACCACAACTATTTGCACATTTAATAGCTTTTACTTTTTTTTGGTTTAAGTGCACAATTATCAGCTGTTGTTAATAGTCTTTTTTGTACATTATGACGAGCTTGTTTGAATGGTACATAATCATCAGGTACATCGATAATTAATTTTGTTCTTGTTATTCGACGATTTTCATCATTTTCAGACCAGGTATTATATGCTTTTTGAATTATTTCTTGACATCGATTACTAAAACAAATATGAATGAGTATGAAATATTTTTAATTACTGGAATAATATAGTTTTACCTTCTTAAATTATCAGGAAAAAGTAATCGAATATTCATTCAAACATCAAGTGTACCAATCATTAATCGTGAACGTCCATTTGTCTGTATTCTATTGACAATCGAATAACCACGTTCACATTCGACTGAATTAAGCGGTGATATTAAATAAATTGATAATAATATTAACATATTTTTATATTCACCATAAAAAGAATTGTCGATGGTTTCTTTTCATGAAATAAATGATTTCCAAAATATTCTTCAAGATTTTTATTGATCATTAATGGAAACAAATTCACTTAATGAAATTTTTAATATTTCCCACTGGTTTCCACATTTATCCATGTTAAATCTACTCAAATTTTTTGTATTTTGTACGAATATATTCAAGTTCTTGTCGACCATAAATTGATTTCATAATTTCACTTTTATTTTTCATTAAATATTCAGGTTCAAATAAAACAAGAAAACATTCTTATAATTTAGATGGTTTAAATCTTTTATCAATTTCTAACAACAATTGATTAATATGCATAAAACATTCATTGTACAATTTAACGCGATCACCTACAACAACTTGAAATGTACCATAAGAATTGTTGTTAGATGTACAATCTATATAATCATTTAATGATGGTCCTAAAATACATTTGGATTCTTGTTTTTGAGAAAACCAATTATTTAATATTTGTTTTTTTTTCATTCAATACGTTCATTAATGTTAAATAAGGTAAATCATCATTTTATAATAATTTAGTTAATTCTCCTATAATGGAAATGAAAAGATTACTATGAAAAATAATATTTTGTTACCTATAACACATTCATGTAAATCATAATGAAAATGAAGCATAAACAAAAAATCATCGTTTAATATTGAAGATAATAAATCAGTTGCTGCACGATCATCATTCGTTAAGTCTTTGTCAAATTTTATTTCTTGTAATGTAGCTAATAAGGCCTGATTGGCTACAACAAAACAGATAAATAAAGATAATAAAATAAGACAATTATTAAAAAACGTTTACTTGGTGTGATGTTGAACATGATAGGTTTTATTGAATCTCGAATAGCTGTACAACATATGTTAAATAATTTTTTGAATTTTAATTCAATAATCTCCAACAGATTTTGCCAGCACTTCAGTTTAGATGTTCGAGTTGCACTTGAGCCAAAATACTGATAAATTCGACCTATAACATTTTCAAGTTTTGAAATTAAATCACGTTTTTTTGGTTTTTCATTATTATCTAAAATACAATTTTCTAACTATACTATATAAGCACACTTAATATATACCATGTTTAACCGTGTGCTGCACAAGAATTTAATTCAACAAAAACTAAATCATAATCACGTTTTAGTTTTGCTACAACACCATTATTAACATCTACAACAGTTAAAGGTAATTATTTAAAAAAAATATAACGCAAATTACCTTTAAAAGTTGGAGCATTATCGGTAGTAAACCAACATGTTTTTTTAGGTTTTAAATCATCTTTTCTTCACAATGATTTAATGCAGTTCACTATATTATTAGCTGAATCATCACTATCCAAACTCAAAATTCCATAAAAAATTGTTTTAGCTTCACCATTTTCAAAAATCTGACATAAATTATACAACTTTTTTCGACAGTGCGAGAAATGCTTTCATCCAACATCCAACCTAATCTGGCAAGAACATCGTTATTTTTATTTTTTGAAAAATATTTTTTTCCCAATCGATGGACTTTGTTTTACTTTTTCAAGGGTTTCTTCGTGTAAATAGGAAGCTACATGGCGTAAAAGTTCTAATGCAGCATTATCATTTCTATAGGAAACACCACCTAATTCAGCTTGTAATAATTTAACACCAAGATCTTCAATTAACGTGCATAGCTTCTCGAACGAATTAAGTGATTGATCTTGTTGGCATACAAAGACTGCAGCTAGAATTAGGTTTTGTATTGCAATTTCATGTTTTGTTCGTTCTTTCATTTGTGTTGTTGTCCAAGTTGGTTGTGATTGTGATGCTTTTTGCAATTCAAGTTGTTCAGCTTATTTGTGTACTTCTTTATTTTTATGTTCTTTTATTTTTGACAGTTTCATAATTTTATAACCTGTTGTACACCATAAATTAATTTTCCCATTTGAGTTGATTCTGTTTTGATATTTTTCACATAATTTACAGCCAAGAGCATCATTGCCCTTTTCATCTTTTTTGTTATACAACCAGCAAATCATTTCCTCGTGCATATTATTAAATATATCAAATGTATATGTTTTGTAAGATGATTCTGGTTGTTTTTCCCATGAAGGTAAATATCGACAAGGTTCTTTCTTTGATGATACACCTGCTGGTTCAATTGCCGCTGTTGCTTCACTTACTATTTGCATATCATAATCGTGATCGGTTATTATATTTGATCATATATGTACTTCATCTTCACGATCATGAGACAAATTCATTCTAGTATTTGTTTCAGTTTCATCAAGAACAATAATCACTCCTTTTTCTTGATTTAAATTTGTATCATCATCATGATCAACAGTTAATCGAAGTTGAGTAGTTAAATTATCTTTATTTTGTAGATTTTTAACATCCTTCGACGATGATATCTTAACAAATGAATCAAGATTTGTTTGTTTCATAATAAGTATTATTATCACGTAGTTCTTATAACATATTCAAAAAACTAACGATGTCAATTCACGTACGTTGAATAAGTACTTAATTTCTAAATATTAAAGAAGAATATGAATAAATACTAAATTTTCAACAAATATATGAGTAAGTACCAAATATTGAAGAAGGATACGTACAAAATGTTCAGCATGAATATGTATACAAATCAACATCCAGCAAGAAAATAAATAAATACTACCATAAATATTCAATAAGATATGAGTAAGTGCTAAATATCGAAGAAAAATAACTATACATACTTAATATTGAAGAATAACAATACGTACCAAATGTTCAGCAACAATATATACGAACAAATATCCAACAACCATATGAATAAATTTTACTGTAAATATTCCACAAGAGTATAAATCAATACTAAATATCAAAAAAGAGTAAGAATAGGTATAGATCATTCACCAAGAGCAAGAATATGAGTAAGTATTAAATGTTCAACAAGAACAAGAACAAGAACAACAAATATTAAAATATTCAACTAGAATAATTATAAATTTTTCATAAGAATAGATTACGTACTGATTATTAAGTGAGAATACTTGGAGAAATATTAAATATGCAACAAAAATAAGAACAAACATGAAATATCTACAATTCAACAATAATAAATGAGTAAAGTGGATATAAAAAAAACAAAATATGAAATCTAAAAAAGACAGAACTTTCAAATATGAATTCTATTCGATAGAACTAATAGAAAAAAAATTCTTCTTAGCTTCATCTACTATTATAACTAAAATATATAAATAAGAGGAAAATAAATAATCTTTAAATAATGACGTAACAAATAGCAAAGTACTTTTTTATTTTACAAAGTAGCATGGTAGTACTTCATTTTATCCAGCAAAGTATAAAACACAGTACTTTTTCAAAATTGTAAGTTCCTCGGGTACTTTGTTTCAGCTTGGAGTACTTAATATTAAGAACCCTGGACACAACTCATTCTTTAACATATAACAGAACAGGAAAATATTCTACTGGAGCATCACAGAACCACATATTATAAAAATGGAATATGACATATAGATGTCACATAAGAACAGATTATATTGATTATGAGACAATCTCATAAAACGAAATAATTTTACTGAAGCGGCATGTAGCTATAATTAAGGTGATATCAGAACAATTTAATAAAATTCTTTGATGTAAGACGGTGGAAAAAATGAAGCGAAATAAAGAGAAAACACGTATCGATAACACATTAAAAAGGGTGTGGGTGTGTCGGTGTGGGTGTGGGTATGGGTGTGGGTGTGGGTGTGGGTGTGTGGGTGTGGGTGTGGGTATGGGTGTGTGGGTGTGGGTGTGGGGTGTGGGTGAGCGTGTGGGTTTTTGTTTTCAATCCAAACTCATATCCTTACCCACACCCACACCCCACGCCCACACCCCCACCCAACACCCACACCTACACCCACACCCACACCCCACACCCACACCCACACGCACACCCACCCACACCCCACACCCCACATCCACATCCACACCCCACCCACACCCACACCCACACCTTATTCTCTATATAATAAGATCAGCTTTGAATTATTGATGTTAAAGTTTATAATCTTTTTTATTCTTCTTCTTTACTAATTTGAAGTCAGAAGAAAATCCCTTATGACTGATCTTATATTTAATCGAGTCGTCAAATAAATTGATGATAAAAATGATGAAATATATAATCATTTGTATTATCAATTGATTTTTACGAAATGCTTATCCTTTTCGAGATTATTTAAATATGATATTATTGAAGGATTGATCTGATTTATGAGAGAAGATTGTCAACTAAGAAAAGAACTAGTTGAGTAGCTTCTAGTTAGTGTAGTGTTTAATGAAGCTACGTTATATGTTTTTGAAGTTCGATTTTTTGTGAAAACTGTCTAGTTCAAAATTATAAGATGCAGATTTAATTTAAAACTTTATTTATAAGTTAGTGTTAATGTTTATTAGATAACAATGAAATTTTTCCTTGAAAAACATGATTTTATTGTCTTGATATTTGTTGATCAAAAGAGTCAATATTTGAACTTTTACCTATGAAATGTGGAAGTTTCTTAATCATTGAATATTTCATAAAGAAAGCATGCTTTTCAAGAGAAAATTTCAGAAGAATCTCATAATATTGATACTTATAAATAAGCATAAGTTCAGATTAAACCTTGATCTTATGATTGTTGAACTGTGCAATATCTATGAACTAAAATGATCATCATTTCAAAAGAAAAAGAAAAAATAGAACAGGACATTGTCTGACATTATTTTCGACTTCATTGAGTACAACATA